TGTGTGTGCGCGCGCACGCATGTATAATGAAGAGTGCATGTAGAGATTTACAGTGTTGGCATCCGGTCCGGTCAAACGTGTGGACCGCTGCCACTCTCCCCCAACAGCTCTGGATAAATGTGCCATGTTTTGTTTTCCTTTTCAGGAAGCCCATGAAAAGAATTAGCAAGATGAGAAAGTAGCAGGCAGATCTCTTGGGGCGTCCATCTGTCCATTACTGAAATAAAAGCTGTCCACTCGAAGAAGGAGGCGTGATTGAGGGATGGAGGGATTTTGTTGACTTGATAAGACAAGGATGGAGCGCAGTGGGTAATCAAGGGAAAGGCAGAGAGATAGAGTGATAGAAAGATGGACAGATAAATAGAAATCACTGGGATTTATTCACGTATTGACACACTAAACCAAAACGGATAAACTTGCCCATCACAATTTAACTGTAATTGCAGGAGACATTTGCTGTCTTTATAGCACATGCTGCCCAATCCTCTTGCAAAATCAGCACGATTCGCCTCAAACTCATTCATTAATCAGCAGTAAACAAAAGGAAATTACCCGGAAACACTCAGCTCAAAGGACTACAAATCATGTGACAGAGATGAGCACTTAAAGGTGGAAAAGACCTGTGAACTACTGAGATACCCACAGAATGTTAACCAGCAATGGTTTCACCTAAAGGAAAAGCTGAACTGTCGCTTTTTGTTTCCTTAATATTTCTGTTTTGAGCTTAAAATTGCCAAACGTTACTCCATACTTTACCAATATTTTTGGCCTTGTTTCTTTTGGATTGCCTTGTGTTTTATACTGCAATCCTCTCTTGATTGGGTTTTACTTGGTTAAATTAAGGTTACTCAGACATCACCCTTGGGTTGTCTCTTACTCTTTTTGAGTTTTTCTTACATTTTGCATTGATGAAGTTCATATTAGGAGGCTAACTCTCTCACTGAAGTGTGCTCCTTATTAGGGGTGGGGGAAAAAATCGATACTGTGTAGTATCGTGATATTTTGTTTG